ACAAGTTTTCCCACGTGCAGTTCCCAAAGCTCAGTGGCATATTCCATAGGTAACCTTTGGGAGGAAGCAAGGGCGTTGGAGTCAGGCCCACTTGATGGCAGGGAATTTTGCTCGGGAAACATAATTTAGCCAGACCTGATTATCCTGGAATTATGCTAGTAAGTGAATGATCACCACCAAAAGTGAATGATCACTACCAGAAGATGAAGGAGCAAAACTGCGGCACATGTTTGCGTAGGCACTTGGGGAAAAAAGGAGAAACACTGTTCAAGCTCACCTGACTGAGAGATCACACTAGCACGTTTTATTTGAACTCTCTTAAAAATATACTATATGAGCAAAAGTAATACAACTAATATCAATGCCAGTGGAACTTTTTTTAAAAAAAACAAATTGTGACCAAGTAAATCCTCTGTCAGGAGTGATTTAACTCCTAACTCCTCATGACTGACTTAGTAGTGTAGGAAGTTGTATGGAGGGAAGTTTCTCGTTGTGATATCAGTGCAAGCATGTAACACTTGAACTGCTTATACATTTCACCTACAGAGCAAGGGCTGCACAAAAACTACTCTAGAAGTATATCCAGACCTCAGGAAGGCTTCTGCTCAGGCAGTTTCTGTATTCCCACTCAGGATGTGGCTGGAGGATGATTCAAAACTTTCTGTGCACCCAGTATCACCCCTGGGAGGTTCTGCCACTGAGTGTTACTCTAGGTTACACTGACCAGTGCAAGACACTCATTTCTTTAAAGCAATATTTAACATTGATAAGATATTTTCCTTTCCAATTACCTACACAACTTATGTTCAACTGAATTAATCATTAGTAGCTTTGTCCCAACTGAGTGCTGTTGGATGTACAAATTTGCTCAATGCTGATCAGGTGATTCTTCCAAAAGTGACAGTGGGCAGTGATGTATCCTTTGTTGTAAAAGCACCAGATGATTCAAAATCAAGGAAAACATGACATCCCTGAACTGGAAAAAGATAAGAATAAAAGAGATACAACAATTCCTGCCCCTCTCCCTGGTTAATAATGACACTGAATGAGAGAGTGTCACTGAAATCTGTTTTAAAACTTTGAGAGAAATTGGACTTTCTGGACCTTCTAGAAAAGTTTTGGGTTCTGTTTTGGATTTGTTTTATTGGTTTTGTTTGGTTTTTTTTTCCCAAAAGAGAATTTTGAAAAAAGGTAAAACTGTATGATAAAATAATTAGATGAAGGACATCAGAAAATATCTGTTCTGCAGAGACCTGCACATCCTTCTGGAAATACCTGTTACATAGGATCGTATCAGAAAGAAGGCTGCTATCAGGGCACAATCCAAGCTTTATAGATACTTCCTGGAGCACTATCTTCCATGGCAATCGTTGCTTAAATAATCGAAACCTCTACTTTCTAATTTGAGCTTTTAGTTTCCATTTTCAGACTAGCGATAACCATGTGCTGCTACTGCGGTATGACCAAAGTAGATATGACCTACTTGCCTGAAACCAAATCATACTTTCTTTTAATCAAAGATGGAAGAGTCTAAGTGAAGGATAAGTGACCCTGCTTCATAACTAAAATATGTCTTTCAGAATGATCCTACTCAGGGGAGCAGAAAAGGAACTAGATGACTGGACAGGGCATGCTGACCTAACACCTAAATGCTACCTTGTGAACACGGCCAGGCTCTACATGTTAGAGCTGTTGCTATTGCAGTATATTCACCACGTCATATACATTGCAATAAAAAAAATATATATTATGTATATTTAATATATTAAATACTACATTTAATTATTTTATTCACATTAAATATCATACATGTTAGATGATATATTAAATATATTAAATATATTGCTATAGCTACCGCATCCAGGTGGATGGTCCCTAGGAGAATGTCTCTTCCTGGACACCACATATTTATTTATAATCAGGAGCTACTATTGAGGCAATGCTGTGGCAGAAAGCAGATCACGAGCATATCTTGTGTATCAGTGGAGACCACGTAAGAAATGCCATACCGCCTAAGACCAGTGCTCTGTCTCTGGCAGCAGCAAGAAGAAAGGCTGTTCAGGAAGAGCACATGAGCATGGCCACTTTCTGTGGTCCGTTCCCTTCCTGTCTCCCCAGCAATGGAACAGTTGCATTGGGGACACCAGCATGTACATCTTTCCCAAGTCCTTTCAGTATCCATTTATGGACCTGATGTCCATGAACTTGTCTATATGACTACATACACTGACAGGTTAGAAGGTAATTCAGCTATATTATCCTGACAGATGTCAGTGTAGGGTAGTCCTCAGGGCCACCAGTGATTCAAACTCTACAAGCTTCCACAGAAACCACTCCCAGTATTACTGTTTTCACAGTTAGGAAGTTTTTCAAACTATGTAATATCAACCTTCCTTACTTCCCTTTTAGTCCATTATTTCTCCCCATACCTAACAGAAACATGAAAAAACAGATTATTTCATTCTTCTTTTATGCCTTTACATGATTTTATTATGTCTTTTCCTCTCATTGCTTTTGTTTAAGTGAAACAACCCCAAGAATTTCAAGCTTTCCTTTATGGTCTTCTTATCATGTTCATGGTATTTGCTGGCTTCTTTCCAACTTGGAGAGACTCCAAGCATTGCCCTCCTTTCTTGAAGAGCAGTACAAAAGACTGCACAAGACCTAGGTACACTTATCAGTCCTCAGCAGAACACAGAGGCTACTGCATGTCCCCTGTATATCTTCTTGAACTGAGCCTGCCTTTTTACAAATAATTTCTCTAATTTACCTGGTAAATCTGATTTACTGCTGGTAATCTAGTGATAGTGCTCTCTCTCCATTGAATGAATATTTTCTTAGTTTTACAATCAATATACTTACACTTGATGTGTTTTCCTAAGTGCATCCCATTCTCTGCCATGACTTTTCCAATGTTGTTCAGTTCTTTTATGCCCCTCCTTAATAACCTGACCTTCTTTATGCTTTTGGAGGCTTCCTTCTTGTCTCAGTAAAAAGCTTGCTCATGATTTAGCCAAGATCATCTTTTACTGCACTGCTGTAGTGTAGATGCTTAGTGCTTGTACTCTCATAATTTATTGGACGGACCACCAGCTCTGTTTATGTCCTTTTCCTTTGTATTTACATCTGTTGAGTTCTTCTCTCCCAGATCTCCAAACTTACTAAAGCTTTCTCTGCCAAACCCAACTGTTTTTATTCTGCTGCTCTCCTTCCTTCTCTTCATAGGAATATTGAATAAATTAAGGCTTCTAGTTCCCCTTGTTTTTTATCTAGACTCTTTACATTAGTAAAAAGACATTGTTTGTACCCAGAGCTACTGTCCTCCTTGTTCATTTTTTTATATCCATTCAAATTATCTGAATTTCCTTCACTTGCCTCTTCCACAAGAACCAATTTTTAAGTCCTTGTCCAAGTACCTGTGTGCTTTTGCCACTCTACTCCACTTCAATCCTCATGTAAAGCCATCCTGACTAAGGGGACGTTGGTGTACAAGGATGATTTCAGATTTGGACCCCTCAAAGCAGAAATGTCCCAGGATGCCAAGTCCTGTAAGCAGAGGAGTTTCTCTATTGCACATGGCAGAGATATATCAGAGACCGCAATTTCTTGCAGTGGCTGCAAATAACAGCCTTACAGTGAAGAGCCTTTTCCTCATTATCAAGCAAGATCAGGCACATTGATAGTGCAAAATGAGACCAATATTAAAGATTTAGGTTTAGAGGTAGATGAGTGCCACCTAATTTTTAGATGCTCGTTCCCAAAGTCACCTGAAAGAGAGTGAACCGAAAAATCAACAGCAGCAAAACGTTAGCTCTGCTATAATGAAGGCTATGAACACACTTATGCTCAAAACTCATTATTACTGAGTGCTCTACAACTTATTTATGGTGTGGAGTAGTCTGAGATTTGTAGAGAAAAGTTTTGGAAACTAAAGGTCATAAATGAAAACTGTTAATCTGGCCATGCCAAGCTCTTGAATATACTACCCAGGTATTCACAAGGATTCCTGTGTCACATGCATAAGAAATCCTGGCTGACAGCGGAGGTGAGGTGTGAGGTGTTGCAGTTATGTGCGCTGGCTGCCTGGGGTCCCAGAGGCTCCGTCCCTTGAAACAGCGCTGGCTGCTGACAGACCCCTCCCCTCTCCTCTCTGCTCTTTCCTCCCCTATACATTTCTCCTCCCCACAAAACTTGCCCTCAACATACTTCACCATTTTTACTACTTCCCTCTATCAACCAGAAAACATAAATATACTTAAGATTTCTTTCCCTGGACTTGCGAGCAATCACTTTCTTCAGTACACAAGCACTGTACTGTAAGACAGGGTAGGGAACTAGGGAGCACGTGGGTATCACATAGTTTTTGTTACTTTTACTTAGCCAGAGAAATAAAGCATCACAAGAAACATGAATCTTTAATAAAAGGTCAGGACATTCAATACCAAGACCCAGAGTTAAGTTGACATACCATAGCTTGAACACTGAGTTTAACAAAACATAACAAAAATTAAAAAATAGGGATAAGGTATATTTGCATTGAATATAATTCTTTTCATTATTACAATTATGAAAAATCTCTACCCAAGAAAAGCCCTTACTTCTGCAAGTTAACAAGAATTGTGAAGTAAACAATAATTTGAAGTAAATCTAAAAGTAACAGAAAAGGTCTGTGAGAAGGACAACGCAGGAAAACATGCTATGTATGTTTTACATATTTTCTTTCTAAAATATTATATTTCCAACTTGACTGAGATATAAAAAAGGGGAAAAAAATCATATCAGAGGGAGAAAGTGCATTTTAACAATCCTCGTAAAAATGAAAGAAACAATAGTCTTGATGTTATCTGCTATCACTGTCCCATATGGAGAACAGATCTCCTGCAAGTAGACAAGGGAAGTCTTGAGTAATGACAGAGAAAACAAACTGTGATTAGTGTTATGGGGAGTATACAGCAGACTCCCACCACCATGACTTTTTTTATGTTTTTCTTCTCTTCTAGGATTTGATGCCACCTATTGTGCAGTTGAAATTCAAGTTAAAAGAAACTCCGAGTACAAAACTAATCTCGGGAACTCCTTGATTATAGCCTGTCCAGTTCATTACTGTGAGAAAAAGCCAGACATGCAGTGGTGCAAGATAGAGGTGGATACATGTGTGGTGCTGAAGGAGGGCAAAGCGGAATGGGACTCCAATGTGTTTACACTGGAGTTTTTCTCAGTTAATCAGAATGACAGCGGAACTTATCGTTGTCGAGCAATAGGAGGCAACTATTCCAGTGTGAGCCATGGAATAAAGGTTATTGTTGAAGGTGAGGCCCCTGCATTATGAAAGAGCCCTTTAAGACAAAAAGATGCCACAAACAGGAAAGCTCATGCATGCTGGACAATGGCTTCTCCCACCATGTTTGTCTGGTAGCACAGTTGTGGTGCTACTTACCACTTTCTTCATGTTTCTATCCTGCCTGTTGGTCCTGGGGAGAGGAAATAACAAAATAAAGAAATAACAGGAGGATCTGGAAGAGAAAAGCAAAGCTGCCAACACCAAACAGCCATTAGTGGACTCTTTGATAATAAAAAAAAATATCAATTGGAACACAAAAAGATTGTGGGAGGACAGCCTGATTATACGTCACATGGACTAGACAGGATGCAAACGGTCATGTAGTAGCAGTTGATGAGGCCGCACAACAGTAAAGAGGAAAAAGCAATTCAAGCGTCTTGTTGAGAATGATCTTTCTTGCAAGAGAGAGAAAGTATAGTTTTGTACACCAAGAAGTTCAAGAGCAGGAAAGACTGCAATAGCTTTAAATGATCTTGAGGACTTAAAGGCAAGTGAGGCCTTCACATTAACTTAGGCAGTTGGGATGCCAAGTCTAGATTATGACGAGCCATGCCTGCCCTCCTCAATGTAGCTCTGCAGCTAGAAAGTGGTCTGTGTGGCCATAGTGGCCTACTGACCCCAGGCAGCTGCAGTGTACGATTGTTTTGTTGCCAGTTCCTCTTCTGGTAAATTAATGAACTTTAAAACCTTGTGTATTGCCACATGAAATGCTGCAACAGAGGGAGCAACATCAAAATTTATGGCTGTAATGAGCTAGCAGACACAGTATATGCCCAGCTCATGATGCAAGTTTCCTTTGAAATATGTGTTCTGCTAATCTATTTATTTGGATGCCAAAGAGGTCTGGAAGATAGAATTACTCTGTTGGCAGTGGGAGACCAACACATCATTCCCCCTCCCCCCAAAACACCCTACCCTTTGGTTGTTGCACTTTGTTCCTTCTTCCATCAGCAGATTGAAGGGGAGCCTTGGGAAGACTTTAGTGTGCAGTGCAGAGAACACAGCTGCAGTGCAAAATGTCAAGTTGTTGTTTCATTTCCCTGTCTTGCTTTTCTCTTTCAGAAAAGTCTACAAACATTATCACAATTTCACCAGAAAGTAAGTTCTGATTCTTGTTTCCTCTTTGAGAGACAGGAACTAACCTGTGTTGCTACAAATTAGAAAAAAATAGTGTTTTGTGCAGTCAAAGCAAATTTAAACCCATTGCTAAACTACAGTTGCTTTCTTCCCACTTGAACAAACTGCAGTCTCTCAAGGGCCACAGTTTTCAAGGCTAGGACTGTCCAGCATTCAGAGTAAAAGGGGCAAAGCCAAGCAAATTACCTCCTGGTGGTATAGTCTACACTTCTGATGTGCTCTTTAATATCCCAGTGATATATGGCTTATACTTACAAAGTGTTAGGAATCATGCTATCCCATCACTTTAACATAGCCTGAAGTATGGTTTTAACTCACGGTTGCTTATTGTTCACAATTACAACTGCAAAAATATATTGGAAGTTCAGAGCAGTGGTCTAATTCTGACCCTTTGTTTGCTCCTGCCAGCCTTCTGCCATGCATCCTTCAACGATTACACTTTCCCATGCACTTTTCCTTCCAGTATCTTCATACTTCATAGAATGCCCATGGAGATGGTTATCTGATGACGTGCTGTACCAAGTTAAAGAATGTTTAAGTACATTAAGAAGCGAGTTGCATCAGAAAGACCTAATGCAAAAAAAAAAACCCAAAACCCCAGTCAAATATTTCTTTATGCTAATACATGTTAATGCAATTTTAGATACCACTAGTATCTCAGAAGAGTCCCAAGAATCTCGAAACTACAAGATATTGCACATTATTTATGCTTCAGCATCCGTGGGTCTATGTTGTCCATTCATCGCTGTATGCATGTTTTGGCGTCTAAGGAGGTACCATGGTAAGGAGTTTTACCATTTAACCTTTGCCTGGTGTACATTTGATTCCACTCCTTTTCAGAGCTTCACAGAAGCTGCATTCAAAGCTCTATGCAAATCCCCTAATAATTACCCCAACTGATTGCTGAGATGTCCTTGTCGAGTGCACCAGTTAGGATACTGAATCTTTAAGAATTTAATTTGCCCCACGTATTGTTCCCTTCCAGAGACAGGGGGATGGAAGTAAAGTAAGAACAAATAAAAATCTCAGACCTTGTAATAGTTGGAAATTTTTCTCCTGTTTTGCAAATAATCAAGTTAGAAATAAATAGGAGTTCTAGCCATGCAAATGCAGTCAAGATCTATCCAGTTACATTTTATATTCCTAGTTTTGCCTCTAAATTATCAAATAATTACAGTATTAATCTCTCCTGCTTTACAGGAACTCTTACACAGCTGCCACGTCCTAAACCAAGAACAGAACTTGGAGTCCCCCATATCTAATTTAAGTGATCTCACATTTGCCGATTATAATCCCATGGATTTTTTTTTAATTTTAGGAAAATGAAATTCTTTCATCTTCCAAAAAAATTTAACATGTTTGCTCATAGAATGGCTTTAGGATTCTCTGTGCCTTTTTCTCCCCACCCAGTTCACTGAAGACAGAGAAAACCAGCCACAAGTACACGAGGCATTTTTCTGCTCCTATTCGAAGGAGCTCTATGGAACATAGAAACTCATTCTATAAATATATCATTCTGTATTGGTTAGCTTTTGTCAGAATAGCTGTTCCCAAATCCAGTTTGGAAATAGATTTTTGTTCTTTGAGGTCTACTCAAAGTACAGTAATTAACACTCCCTTGATAAGCAAAAAGGCACCTTCTCAATGCTGATTTATTGAAACATCTTTTTTTTTTTCTTTTTCCCAGCAAAGCAAAAGAGAACTCCATTAACTTCACAGAGACAAAAGAGCCTGGTATGTTTAAATTTTGCCATCATCAAAACCTGACCACGTCCTGCATAACTATGTACTGAGAACAAATCTTCGTGTAGTACAAAAAGTGGCATAGGAACAGAGACAGATTTAGTGACCCTCTTGGTGCCTGGACAGCTTGGTTTGCCTGGTGTGAGATGTCACCACGGCTGAGCTGAGGGAAGGAACTAAGGGACTTAGCCGCAAAGGTACTTTACGCATTTAAATTCCTCTTAAAACCTATTCATTTGTAAGTACCATTCCAGTAAGAGTTTAGGCACCTAAAGAGCCTCTGTTGATCTGGTTCAGACTGTCTGCATAAGACAAAAAACGACCCACAGAACAAGGAAAATGTTTGAAAAGAAATACTTTCATATGTGGCTAACTTGAATTCACAGAGGTCTTGCTAACAGTTCCAGAGAAATTAAATGGGCAGAAGGCAGAACGCAAAAGATGCAACCGGAGCTGGCAGCCATCGGTCACAGGGGAAGTGTTGGTGGGGATCAAAGGGCACCAAACAGGTTGCAGAGCTCCCACAGGGCAAGTTGGAAGAAAGAAAATTAAACGCAGAATATTCTAAGTGGCTAGAAAAATGGATGTCAAAAGAGGACTTCATTAGAGAGATTAATTTATAGAGGAATTTGCAGATTTTGGAGAAGAAGAAATATTTATTTGGAAAATAAGTCAAAGAGGATAAAGAGCAAGAGATCAGGAAATGGGAGAATGGGGGTGATAAGGAAAAAGTAGTCTGGGGTTTGGAGATGAAAATAAAGATTTTGTAAACTGAGAAAGGAAAGCCTTGAATGAGTGACATAGAAGAGCTCTCACAAAATGATAAATCAGTTTTGCCTTAAGTAAGTTGGCATCTTGCAAGAAAAGACATGAGAGTTTGGGAAGGGAAATGGAGAAAGGCAGGAGAGCCAAGAATGATTTCTAACTGTATTTCAAAGATCAATATAAAATCCAGTGACCAGGTGAATCCAATTCACCTGTGCTCAAAAGCAGTTTTAAGGGGATAAAGCAACTTGAACAAAATCTTACATGCCTCTTATGTAGCAGGAGCACAGGCAACAACCAGATATGCACAGAGCTGTACCCTGTTCTGTTTTCTGCAGGTCAGAAGTCCATCAGCTGCTCCATCCCACGCTGCTGGGACAACTCAAGCTTCAGAAGAAAGCTCCTCACTTTACTATTGCTCCATGGCTAGCCCACTGCAGGCCTCGCACGGCAGCGCCATTTATGACAACGATGTCCCTCCCTGGAACGTGCAGAGGACAGCAGTTAACGCACCTCGCAATGATCCTGTTATTCCTTCCACCCCAGTTTTACCGGAAAGCCCAGATGGCCTCACATATGCTGCACTAAATCATTCTGCTTCTGCAGAAAGATGCCAGAGAAGGGAACTAACTGTAGAAAATGAATTTACAGAATATGCCTCCATTAATGTAAATAAATAAATGTGTCAAGGACTTCTCCCGACAACCATTTTGCATGCAGTCCCAGTTCTAGCTTCCCTCCAGGATGTTGTTCCTTTCTCTTTCGGGAAAGCTTCCTTTTTGTTAAGAAGAACCTAGGGATGCTCCCCTCTAACGCCAGAATTCAAAACACAGCCTGTGTCGATGGGTGGGTATTTCCACTTTGTGATTGTCTCTTAAATAGGGGAATAAAAACAGTCAGCTTTCTTATTTTTCTTGTTTTCAGGATTCTGCTTCTAGCCTGACTGTGATTTGGTTACAGTTTGAATATATACAAAAGGGAGAAGGGGAAGGTTTTCCTAGGATAGAAATGTGTAAAATGAATCCGTGAGGAATGATACTGAGTCAGGTTAATTTCTCCCAAGTAAAAGCTAAGAGTGTTTGTAGGAGAATTTTTCTCTGAGTTTCTAAGAACATCCTTCCAAGGATTCAGTTTTTCATTCCAGTTTACACTATCTTTTTGCAAAGTTCTTTGAGCACCGTGAATGTCTAAAGCTATTATTAACCAAAATTCAGTGAATACTCGTGTGTGTGTGTCGTGTTTGTTTTTTGTGGAATCCAGGGAAGGAGGAGAGGGTTGTTTTCTTTTTACAAAGAATTCTCACAAATAACACGTGAGAAAATATTGAAATATAGCACACAGTTTTTCTCTTGGTGGGATGATTGGTTAGCTGAGTTACTGCATATTGCTTTTGTCCATGATGAACCAATGGAAATAACAAACGATGAACAGTGACTGACCCCAGTCAAAATCAAAAATTTTTGTTCACAAATTACTGTGTATAACTGTGTCATGCTAAGTTTTCCTCCCAACACTGGCACAAAAAAGTGATTATGCTTCATGCCCAGGTTTGCGGGAAAGAAGATAAAAAGGAGGTAAAGACCAAAGTGCCATGTGAAGTTTGAAAAGAATGCTCACGCCCTTCTTCTGCACCACTTATTCAGCTCTAGCTTGGATACCATGCATCTGCTCTTGCAAAATAATGCTCTTAAAAATTACTCTTAGCGATATCTGCACCAGAGGTTTACAGCAGCAAGCAGAGAGTCTTTAACTTCATTAAAAATTCGCACCACAGTTGAAAAGGAAGGATGTACTAGGTCTCAAGCTGCACATAACACACCGGATGATTTGCACTCAAGTTAATGGAAGAAAGTAACGCTCTTCTATCTTCATATTTCATCTTGGTATCATTCCAGCTAACACCAAAGGTGTTAAGCACATACGCATTCACCCTGCTATTTTGGTAAGCTAGGTGGTTTATTAGGCTTATGGTACACATGCTCCGCCGCCTCCCCCCCCCCCTTTGAACTCCGTCACAGTATCTATGTGGAGAAAAACCCATGGTAATTGTTTCTGCACTAAGTTTCTGCACTAAGCTGTTAGTCCAGGCCGTTACATATGTTGAGATTTTTGGTTTGGTGGTTTTTTTTGGTTTTTTTGGGTTTTTTTTAAATATATAAATTATCAATCCAGTAAATCATTGATAATCCCCGTTAAAAAAAAGTAGTAGAAAACTGTCTTCCAGAAAAATTCAGTTTTCTCTTTTTGTTTTAGTGGGCCAATCCTTGTATGGCTAGAGACTAATTATTTTAGGTGAAGCACTGGGAAACTTGGAGCAAGTTAGGTATGAATAGGCCCAGAAATAGACCTTTAATTGCATTTATTGCTCAGCTGATAAAGGTACAATTATTTTCAGAGACTACAAGTAGCTTTCAGAATAAGAAAAAAATGTTTCTCTGAAATAGATTCTACCTCAGTGGTCTTAAACTGAAAAACAAGGACAGCCATTCCTTGGCGAGCCTAAATGGATTTGAACAAAAGGCATGAGACTTCCTTTATTGCTTTCCATGACCTGGATACAGGCCTTGCAGGCAGAAGGGAAAGAGTAAAAAGGCCATCCTTCCAGGGAACAAGTACACATGAAACAGTACGGTTCTTGAAGTGCTTTGCAATACTCTGCCCATACCAGAGTACATACAGGGAAGAGATCAGAGATCCTCAGGAAGGCAAGGAGGGGTGCTAGGGACAGGCACTTTGCCTATTTGAGTTTCCAACCAGCTCTGCGGTGCATTCATCAGGGCACGCACAGCTTTCCCTCTGTCACCCCAGTGAGCTGAAAACACCAGCAAGTCCGTTCAAAGCAACCCCAGAATGGCACACCAGCAACTGGGACCTAGAATGAGACCAAATAGACATGGAAGAAGTATTGCACTGTCAAGAAATGCAAAGGCTAGTGAAATCTTAACATGGTTTGTTTCACCCATGAAAGGGTGAACCTTGGCTTAATGAGGTCTCCAGAGTTTGATTTGGAAGATGAGATTTTTGTAGATAAACAGGAAGCACCTCACCAGCTTACCATCAAACATGCTAGCGTAGAAAAGCGAAGCACAGGAGCCTGCGGCAGGTTCATTTTTTTTAAGCCAACAAATTGAAAGACTGTGCTTTTTGAAGTAGAGAAACAAAAGGCGCTGACTGAAACCATCTGCCTTTCAAAGTGTAAATAACCCATTCAGATAAAGTGCATCATCGGTCAGTTTTCACAGCCTTTTGAAAAAAAAAGAAAAAAGTTGTTATTTCCACCCTCTAATGGCTGTAAAACTGGCCAGTGGACAGAAGGACTGTGTGCTGTTTCACTTAAGGTGCTACATATTCATCTCAATCATCTAGTGCACCTCTCAAATATAATGTCACATTTGAGACATCACACCCAACATCGGTGGTGTTAAGTCTCAGCGGCTGGCCTCCAGCTTTTACAGAGCAGCATCCTACTGAAGGGGCAGAACACCAGTGGGAGCAGAGCAGTTTCATGATTTGCCCTGCATGCTCAGTGTGTGACTGAAAGGAGCCAGTAGTGGGTTAAGCCATACAGTGAAACCACACAATCACGGCAGTGCACTGAAGGAAACAAATAGGCTTGGGACCATTCTGTGGGAGATGTACAGCACCTGTGCAGCCTCCCTAAGACATGGTCTGAGGGCCTCCAATTTGTATTACATAATTTTCTACTTCTTGTCTTTCCTTTGCTATTTTTGCACCAAATATGCTGTACAGGTATAGTCATACAGGAAGCCCAAAGAACAGACACAAAGCTGTACTGCTCTCAGTTACGCCCACAAACCCACATGGAAGGAAAATAGCGAAGTCTGTGGAACTGAACGTCTGTTAATGCCAGCAAAGCATGTTATTGCTCTTCATGGCAATCTCTTCTTGCAAGGGAGGGACATGTAACTGGTTACTCCCTCCTCAGCAACCTGCATAGCACACAAGCCTCTTACAAGCTTGGATGGGATCAGTGGGCTTTTAGACAGTAAACCACATCAGCCATCCTAGTTCCACTTTATCCAGTTTTTCCCTCCCAAAATTGTGCTTCCTTATAAAGACATAAAAAAATTAGAATAGTGTGAGGTTTATTCATTTGCCAACTCTTGGGGTCCAAAGGTTTATCAGACAGGGGACTTCTTTTGGTAAACCACAAACTTTTTCATATTGCTAGATCAAGCGGCAGCTTGCCGAGCCTTGCTTCTCCACCTACTTGTTTTGCAATACTTTCCCTCACATCCCCACAATAGCCTGAGCCCCCTTTTAGCTCATAAGGCTCACAGGCAGCGAGGAGGGCGCAGAAGAGAGTGCTACAGCTAAAAGTACACGAGAAGTGGAGCTTGCACCTCCAAGAAAAAGGCATCATCTTACATTGCTAAGTTTCCTGCTGCTTTCCCCCTAAGAGAGTGGCAAGGGCTGTAATTTTAGGAGTGCTCCCAAAACCAAAGAAATAAGGTGTACAGACAATGTTTGATTCGCAGTTTGCCTGAGCTGCTCCACCTAGGTCCTGCTGTACCTGCATTACCGGCACCGTTAAGACAGTGGACTCAGGAAGAAAAAGGGTCAGCATGGACAGATGGAAACATGGGATGGTTCGGGACTCAGCAGCCAAGCTCCACACCAAAGCCATGCTCTCTGCATCCCAGCTGTTACCTGTTCTGCCAGCTTGGATCTTGCCAACCTCCAGGTAATTCCCTGGGTCTCCCTACATCCCACGTCCTCAGTGGGGGACAGAGGACGCAAGCCTGGAGCTGAGCACTGGGACCAGACAACAGCACTGGCCTGGGTGCACAGGCAGGTTAAGGGAAGAGGCAAACATTCATTTCCCTGCCTGGGCTGTTCCCTGTTCTGCTCCTCGCACGGGGTTCCTCATTCTGTGGTCTCCATGGCTCTGCTTCCTACCCCGTTTCATATCAACAAACGTCAGCCCAAGCGAATGGGAACAAGAGACAGGAACAGACACATGGACAGTGGCCAGGGAAGAGAGAAAAGCAGATTTCAGGGGGAGACAGAGAGCAGGAGAGGGAGACCTAAACGAGGACCCAGAAAAGGATTCCCAAGGAAGACCACCAGAGCCTAGAGGACAGCAGAGTTAGCTACAAAGCTTGAGATGAAAACAACCCCATGTCCCTCAGTACAGAGAAAGTGAAATCTCATTTTTCTGTGAATTTTAAGTGGCAACTACTATTTTCCATTAAAAAAAGCCTACACTGGGCCAGGCCTGCTCATGTGCAATCCCTGCTCACCTAATGAAAAGGAAAATGCCTAAGAACCACGTAAACCCACATTTCCACCCACACAGGTTAGTGGCATATGTCAGACACATCAATCAGCTGCACTCGTACTCTCTCAGTTTCACACAGGTGATCTTACCGTGCCCTTTACATTCCTAACCATTGCAATTACATACCTAGCCTGAACTCAAATTTCAAACTCCTATTCCCCTTTCTGCCTTCTCATACATACATACCCATCTCCGGGGACCCATGGATGGAACACGACTGCCATAGTTACTGTAATATAACTAAAGCAACAGGGGATAATCAGTATTGGAAACACTGTTAAGAGGCTGAGCTTTTAACTATTATGAATCTTGGCCTGTGAGACAGGAGTTCATGTTATAATGGACTTGTATAATTAATTATGCATCTTGTATAATTGA